TGAAGACATTCACAGTGCTAACACTTTTGGTCACTCTCAAACTCCTTATCCATGAACACAACCACTTCTTTTGAATTTGCTCATTTCATTGGTATCTTGCTCTTGATTTACAAGTTGTCCACACTCAAGACTTGCTCTGGTATAGACTTCTACATTTGTCCCTTTTTTTTTTTAACTTTTCTTCTCTAGCATCAACCCCCGGTTCGGTAGGCATTTCCCCAAGGCACTGATATGATGTTTTGACTCTCTTAATTACGCGTGTTTTAGGGAGTTGGATGTCTGATTCTGATGAGTGACCTATGTGAATATAAGCCAGGAGCAAGGATTCTGAAAAGTCAAATTCGATATTGCAAGTGCAAGCTGGCGTTCTTGATATGAAAGTGAAAGTGGAGTGAAAGCCGGTCTTAAGCAAAATCCAAAGACGTTTAAGTCTAGTTCCAATCTAGATATAAAAGCCCGAGATCACATTACAACCTTATTATCAAACACCAAAATATATTTTTCTTGCAAAATAGGAAAACTTTTTTTGCTTATGTTTTTTTTTCTTCTTTTCCTATTAGTCCATTTGACATAGTTTCTAAATTTAGAGAGTGTTAGATAGTGAAACAAAGTGTCTCATGAATTTCCTTCCCTTAAGGTTGTGTTTGGTGCTACAATAGACTTTTGTGCACTACAAAAAAATTGGAATTAGCTACTAACTTCTTCGTTAATTTGTCGCAAAATTGTCCGTAGCTAGCAGAATTTCTTGATAATATATCGCTAAACAGATTTTTCTATTTAGCTACAGAATTTATCCATCGCTAAAACCAAATTTTGTAGCAGTGATGTGGCACGGCCCTTCTCTGGTTCACCCCATAATGGGAGATTAGTGCACCGTATTGTTCTTATTTTTAAGGTTGTGTTTGGTGCGATGGATGGAAGTGATTTTCCATGGAAAATGTTTTCTTGCAAAAAAATTCTGGTGTTTGATTGGTGAAGGTTTAATTTTCTTTTTCTAACATTTTTATGCTGCTGCTTTGGTTTGGGCTTTCATTGAAGACTCAACAGCTTACAGCAACATTTTTATTTGTAAGATTATATTGTAGCCTTCAAGTTGAAGGAGATATTCATACTTTACTAGACCTTGTCACTCTTGTGGCTACATTTTGGCTTATTTATATGATGATGTACAAGTTGAAGTCATCCTACATGGCTGATTTGGATAATATGAAGAAATATGTTGTGGTAAGTAGTTAATACCTCCTCCTCCTTTTGGGCTTTTTTCTCTTATATTTGTTGTTGAAGTAAAACTCAGGTTGTCTGTTAATCCCTTTATTGCTTCTAAACTTATTAGCAGGAGCTGAGCTAGAGCATTAGCTGCGAATTCGGATGAACTCAGTAGCTTTTGCTTAGATCCTGTATTTGTATTAGAAAAATTCATTAAATTTGTATAAATATCTAATTATGAACCTAGTACTAAAGTGATGTGGAAAGTTCAGAACCTATGTTGTGCTGACTTTCCAAAATACTACCGCACTTGTGTCGGATCTTCCAAAAATCTACTATTTTTTGGAGGATCCGACACGCACGCAACGACATTTTCGGAGAGTCCAAGTAACATAGTTTAGAACCATAAACTTCAAATTCTGGCTTCGCATGTGCTTATTAGCACATATGCTTCTAATAGAAGTAGGATTATGTCCATGTGCAACACCACACACATAGTAAACTTGGGAGCAGGGGCGAAACTACATAGTCCGAAGGGTAAAAGCAAGGAATTTTATAAATGTGTAAATTGTTGAATCACTTTGACAATCTTGATTTTTTTGAGTCCCCTTGTTAGAATTTTTGGCTCTGCCACTGCTTGGGAGAGATGTTTTCCCAATTATTATCTGATCCACAAACTAGCCTCTGTAGTATAAGGTCTTCTCTTCATGATTAGAGCAAAAGCTGCTAAGCTATTTGGGAAATATTATGGCTATTCAAACTTGAAAATTACAGGATTTACCAAAGTTTCCAATTCTGATCATATAGGCTGAATGTATGCGTGGTTGCCTAAAGTATTGTGATAAAAAACATTCAGTCACGTAGTGAGCGAGACAGGATGGAAGTTTGTTACAGATTTTTGGTCGATCAGTAGTCGACAATGGTGTAGCACATAACACTATAAGAATTCCATCAGTTCTTTGTTCAGGCTATGAACTTAACATTGCTCACTTAACATTACACGTAGCTTCGCCCCTGATCCCGACTGCCTAGATCACGATAGCTTTAGTCTAGCTGCTTTTATGCAAGATATTTGTGATATGTGAAGCATCCGTTGGAAGTGATTTATGTGCAAGTTAAATTCCTTCATAGAGTCATGACATTATTTTTGGATTATTGCTATTTTCTCCACAGATAGTACCTTGTCTCGTGATAGCCTTCTTTATCCATCCACGGACAAATAATCTTATTATCAGTATACTTTGGGCTTTTGCTACATATATAGAAGGTGTTTCGGTGCTGCCTCAGCTTCGCTTGATGCAGAACGTTAAGGTACATATCTGTCATTACACTAATGTTTCATCAAAACATTCTCCGATTAGTTCATGTGTTCTTCCTTGGATGAAGTAACAATAGTATTTCCTATTGTTGTATTTCAGATTATTGAGCCATTCACAGCTCATTATGTGTTCGCCTTGGGCGTTTCAAGATTCTTCAGTTGTGCTCATTGGATCATTAAGGTCAGTTTTGAATTAAATACAACAATCTGTTCAAATGTTAACTTTCCCAAAACCTTTCTTCCCTTGAGACTGGATTCCAAACATATTGCATGAAACAAGTATTGCACAAATAGCTCGCAGTGTATTTATTTTCCCATGTTCTGAGTTGGTCGAAAGCTTATAACCTGAGTCGGATGCATTTGCGCTCATTGCTTTTGCAAAACATATGTGTGTGTGTGTGTTGTATGCAAAAAAATTCTAAAATATGTAACTTAATACTTCGTTGGCACCTATTGTCACACTATTAGCGAGTTCAATGACACTTCATATTAACCGACTTAAAATTTTGAATCCGTCTCAAGTCTCTGTATGCATTCATATACAGGTCTATGATACAGCCGGTTCATATTTGTCTTTGACTGGAGGGGGTTTCTTGTGGATACCAATGATCATTTTAGCCGAAATTGTTCAAACATTCGTTTGATTTCTGTTATTATTATGTGAAGAGGTGAGCCTTGTAATTCAACTATTTCTTTGAGTCCGTACACTTTGATGTATTTGACGACAATTATTCAACTTGTATACACTAACAATATAAAAATATTTGATACCATCAGCGTATTTTAATATGTTGTATCCGGTATTTTTATGGACGGTTACCTGTAATTCATCTGACAAATGTTTTTTCCCTTTGATTGGTCAAATGATGGTTCGCCTGCCAGCATAGGTGTATAACTCAAATGACTGCATTTTAGATCAAGTTCTTCTTGTGAATAAATAAATATTATGGCATTGTTGCATTTAAGCTATTTTGCTGAAGTGCTGATGAATTGTGCTCTGAATAAGGATATCAGAGATGCAAAGTCATAAATGAGGTTGAAACTGATCAAGAATTGCTTTCAAAATCATATAGTAATAAGGATATTATATTACTATAATTTTTTGTGGTTTTCAATCTGCTCAAAGTCTGACTCTTGGGTAAAGCATTTTCTAATAAAGGTGGCATAATATCAATGAATTAAGTTCGCATTGGGACTTGACTAAATCTAAAGTTGTACTGGGAAGTTTCACGTTGGTAGGTAAAATGCTTCTCAACGAAGGCGATTTTATATACTCAGGGCTCGAACCTAGACTGTTAGTTAAGAATAAATAAAGCGTTGTCTAACAAAGCTGACATCATATCAAGAAATTAGATTCACATTGGGGTTTGACTAAATTTAGAGTTGCACCAGAAAATTCCACGTTGGGAGGTAAAACACTCCTAAATACGGGCGATTTAATACTGAGGGCTTGAACCCTAAACCTTTAATTAAGAATGAATAAAGCGCTCTTTAACCAAGGAATTAGGTTCGCATTTGGGCTTGGCTAAATCTAAATTTGCACCAGAACTCCCACAGTGGGAGGTAAAAGGAATTTTTACATATCTATGCTATATTATAAACTTATTTGCCTTTCATAGAAAGGTTATTACTTAATTACACCAGTATATACAATTTGTCATTTTTATACAAAGTAATATGTTAGATTCCAATCTTACCCATTTTAAGCTTCATTCTTATCTATTTTTCTTATCCATATCCTCTTGATAGTTTAGAAGCTTTGAATTCAAAAATTAAAATTTATAAAATTATTTTTTGTTTGGATTAGGTATCGGTGCAAATGATTGAAAATATACTTTGGAGCTTATATCTCAATTTTGAGAAACTTTGGTGAAGATTCTAGGTGGTTTTGGTTGGAATTTCATATTGAAACTCGAAAAAAAAACATACACACATTGTATATATTTTGTATGTTGAGTGTAGAAACGATATACATAATATCTACATCTTACATAATTGCATACAAATTGTAAATAAATTATATTTAAATTGTAGTTTTAGACCGAATTATGTACATAGAATTTATATTTAAATTGTAGATAAATTATAGATTATAACTGAATTTGTACATTTATGTAAATATGAAAACATAGACAAACCAGGTAAAAAAAATTTAAAATCTCGTATATATACAAAAAATCTACAAAAAAAATTTCATACTCATGGTTCGAACATCAAACTTTTAATTAAGAATGAATAAAGCACATTAACAAAGGCAGCATCATACCAAAGAATTAGGTTCGTATTAGGGCATGACTATATTTAAATTCGTCGAAAAATTCCACTTTGAAAGGTAAAATACTCCTAACAAAAACGATTTTATGCTCGGGACTCAACCTCAAACTTTAATCATTTCCCTTAAATTTAATAAGTTGTGTAGTTACACTAGCAATATATATATATATATGTATAAAAATATAAGAGTAAAAAAAAGAGAGAAAAAAAAATAAACAGAAAAAATGCCAAGCAAATAAACCCTTTTCCCAAGATTCACACTCCTTCCTCTGCAAAGCCCTAGAAATACAACCCCTTCCTCTGCCATAGCAGAGAAAAAGAGCTAAACAATCAAACAGAGAACCTCAGGGCCTATAACACCACATATATCCAGGTACAATTACCTCATTCTTCTGTTTTCTATATTTTATATTTACGTGCTATAATTAGGGTTTTGATTTTTGATCGTATAGTTTTGTTGCTTTTTCATTTAAGGCATATGGAGACTGCAGCGGCGGCAGTAGCTCAACAACCCGTCACTGCTCAAGTTGTGCGTATTTTTACATAACATGCCTTTTTTTTGAGATTTTTTTTTCATTTTCTGAACTCAGTTCTGTTTTTGGGAGTTAGTTGGATACTGAATTTGGGTTGATTTTTTGTTTTGAATATGGGTATAGGTTGCAAATGCTTTTGTGCAGCAGTATTATCATATACTGCACCATTCTCCTGGACTGGTTTTTAGGTTTTACCAAGAGACAAGCAAGCTTGGACGACCTGAAGATCATGGGTCTATGACCATCACGACTACAATGCAAGTAAGCTACTGAATTGGAACTAACGTGTATATTCCTTTGGTTATGAGGATGTGGGATAATAATCCCGGGATAAAATGTGTGATTATATTATTCAAATGCTTTTGGTTGAACTTAGATTCCAGTTTAAGCAATCCCGGGATTGTTTATACTGAAATTGTGATATTATTTTAATCCACACTATCTGCGATAACACTTTTCTCCCCCAATTTAAACTTGGAAGTAAAAGTTTACCGATGTTTATCTAGTGTAAAACAGAACACATGTTTTACATTATGCGCCGTATATACCATTAAAAGTATATCCAGTAATAATTTCGTCATCATTTAATTGTTGTATTATGATCCCCACATTACAATCCTATTATAACTCTATCAAATCGGAGAATTCTGATGCTGTCTCGCATAAGCTCCTCAATAGTTCCACCCCTCCCCTTTGAGAAACAAAATGACCCTTAGTTTGTTTAGAGATTTTGTATGTTAGGTAGGAAAACAGTAAAGACTTTCTAGTCTTAAGAGTCCCTAATTTGTTTTTAAAGATAAATTTATTAAGCGCCGGGAAGAACTTCTAGTGATGAAGAGCCCTTACTTTGTCTTAAAAGATAATAATTAAGTATTGGAATGAAACATGTCCAAATGGAACGAAGTAGATAATGATGAGTCATATAATCGACCACAACTAGTTTGGGATTGAGAAATAGGGTTTTGCAGTTGCGGTCTTTCTTGTGTCCTTCTCCCGGGATCTTAACGTAGTTTGTGAAACTTTCTTCCATTGTGTCCAAACTACGTGATGTTTATGATTATAGCACTGTGTCTTTGTTTCTATTTGGCTAGTTGCAAATTTTTTACAATAAAGGTGACGTATGGGCTTCAAATTTTTACAGTTGTTGAATTGATTTTATGTTCTGCACTTAAGCGGTTAGTCATGGTTATATTAAATGCTATGATGTGGAGGCATGCGAAGATTGCCGGTGCAGGGTTTTGGGAATATAGAATTATCGTCTTTTCCAAGACTTTGAAAGTTGTCAAACCTTGATCTACTCATGTTTCATTAAAAGAACGAGATGGAGTTGACAGTTTGCTTTGCCACTGTGCTTGTTCTCTGTGGTAAGTTTTGAGTTTAAGATTCTAAAGTCCGTCACACTCTTTTGTTTGATGTCAAACACACAGGCAATCAATGATAAGATACTCTCACTAAACTATGGGGACTTCAAAGCAGAGATTATATCTGTGGATGCGCAAGAATCCTACAATGGGGGAGTGCATGTCCTTGTGACTGGATTATTGGCTGGGAACGACAACATGGTCCGGAATTTCTCCCAAACTTTCTTCCTAGCACCACAAGACCGAGGATACTTTGTTCTGAATGACATGTTTCGATATGGAGACAATGTCAATCAACATGTTACTGCCGAGGTCCCGGCAACTAATGCGGTGGCTCCTGTGACTCCTGAACAAGGTATATAAGCTGATAGGTTATTTTTTTGTTTGATCGTGACGTTAAATTGGAACTGAGCATTGAAGTAAGTGTTTTCTATTTGTTGCAGATCCCCCTCCGATGCAGCAGAATCACATTTCTGAGCAGAGCTCACCATCAATGGAGGAAGCTAATGGGGGAGAAGTTTACAACCCACCTGAGAATGGTGACATGCCTGTCGAAGAGGAAGTTCCTGTCGCTGAGGTTGTTGATGAAATGCCAGACGACTCTCAAATAGCAGTTGAATCTAACATCAAAAGTGAAGATGCTCCTAAGAAGTCATA